CTCGGCGAAAGGCCTGTCCCGTTGGGCGAGGCGTTCCGTGCGCCCCTGGCCTCCCAGCGCAGCCGCCGACGGCGCAAGAGGCGGCCGTCGGGAGCCTCCGACGAGCCCTTCACATGGACGACGTGCACAACACGCGCACCCTCGCGAAGCAGCATGCTGCGACTCCTGGGAACCGAAGGCGAAACCCGAGACGCTGACGAGGTTGATGGACAACGAGGAAGCGAATGAAGGCAACTCCTCGATCACGGCGGACAGACCCTGTGTGTTCAAGACCACGGTTTACGACTGGTCTGCCAACCAGGCGCGCATCATGAAGGCGCAGGAAACTAACGTGGCCGGGGATGCCGATGACTCCGCGTGAATGGCGGACAAACCTCGCGTGCTCAAGTCAACGGAGTACGACTGGTCTGCCACCATGGATTCCATAGACTTCAACACGAAGCCGCAGGCCTTCAACGAGGACAAGGCGAAGAGCCACGATGAACCTAAGGCGAACGACGAACCATGCATGACGCCCAAGACAAAATATACTGGGAAGCCTTTAGCATGGCCGACAACCCCTGCGTGCTCACCACATCGGAGTGCAGCTGGTCTGCCACCATGGTTCGCATCACGGCGATAGGACAGGACCCTGATAACCGAGTGCCCCGGATAAAAGTACATGCCCTCCCCTTTCCGCCTCTAACATTTTTAATAATGTGTCATTCTGGTTAAATTGTGGAGAGGGCGTTGAGGCCGAACTTGATAATCTCCGGGGGAAATTGCGAACCGAAGTTGCTATCATCTTATGTTTACTCGCAACAGCATCGCAAACGCTGAGCATGGCAATGGTGGGCTAACCATTCCAGCTTCTGCGATCACGAGCGTGTGGCAGCGCTATGGGATTCTCACCATTTCAGTTGTCCCAAGTCACGAACGTGCGGCAGGGCCGTGGTATTCTCACTTTCCTTGCCGCTCCCGAGTCAGGAACGCGTGGCAGGGCCATCGGGGCCGATTGGATTTTAAAAGTTACATGTGTTTTTCTCGAGCATGCAGAGCATCGGAGCTTGTCTTTTAGCGCATGGCTCACACGGTTCGTGGCCCGTCCTCCTCCTCTTCCTCCTCCTCCTCCTCTCCCCCCCCCTTGGTCCGAGCTTCCCTGAGTCCCCGAGTCCCCAAGCTTTCGAGCCTCTTCGAGGCGCCGAGCTGACCTCCCCCAGGGGCAACGATAGGAGGGATAAGGCATAAAAGGGCGCATCGATCCCCAATCGCCCATTGATCGCAGAGAGTGGTTCGATAGCCTGAACCTGCCCAGGAACGCGCGAATTCACGCTCGGGTGCCCGTCGCCGATGCATCGGCGATGGATCGCCGATTCCAGGACGATGCCCCCTCCCAACGCCTATCCCCCAGCACCGTTGCCCCCGAGTGCGTCGCGAGTCTCGGCCGTGCCCCAGCGCGCCCAGGCGGCGACCCAGCAGGTCGCGGCCCCGCAGAGATCGCCGCCCAGAGCGCGAGCCCGAGCTCGAAAGAGACTCTCGAGAGCACGGCCAAGCAGAACGAGAAGATCCCCGACAAGCTGTCCTTCATCGCGGACAAGGTCGCCATTGCCGAGATGCGCCAATGCCAATCGAGCGCGCAAGGCACTGGCGCTGCAAGAATGACGGCCTGCTTTTTTCAAGGCGGGCAGCGCCTCGTGGTGGGCGAGCGCCCAGCAAGCCGCCTTCGAGATGGCCCGCAACGGCGGTTCCCTCGAGAGCATCGAGAACGGGCGCATCTTCAACGAGAAGGACGCGAGGCGCGTCGTGCTGGCGGTGGCGCTGTTCTACAAGACCTACTGCGAGAAAGACGCCCGCCTCTGCGACGTCTTCGAGAATCGCGGAGAGCCGCCCGAGAACCTCTTCTGGCCCATGCCGAGCTTCAAGTCGAAGATGCTCGAGCCTGCCAAGAAGAAGGACATCGAGCTCGGCGCCGAGAGCGCCCGGCGCCTCAGTTTCGGCTCCTGCGCCGAGCGCGTCGGCAAGGCCCTCCTCGATATCCCCTCCGAGCTCCTCAACCCCCATGGCCTCGTGCTGCCGATCAACGAGAGCTTCGAGCCCGTCGAGGAGATGGGCGAGTAGTACTCCTCCGGCGCGCCAGCCGCTCAGCTCTTCGAGATGAGCCCCCAACTGGCGCCGCGCCGACGGCGCGGTGCAGGGCGTTGACCGCGCGCGAGCCGCCGCGCAAGCTGTCGCCAAGTGGCGCCGGGGCGGGCCGCAAGCGCGCTGCCGACAGGGCCCGCGAGCTCCAGGAGCGGAACTGCATGGACAGGCGCTCCAAGAATGACTACGCAAACATCGGCAGGCAGCTCTCCTTCGAGACAACGCCTTTCGACCAGCACGCCAAGATGACTTGCCGACGCTTCGCGCGCCCCCACCAGCCCGCCCAAAAACGATGTCCAGGCGAGTTGAGGTGATCAGGGAAGCGCGGCAGCAAAGAGGGGGGCGGCCGAGCCGCGCTCAGGAATAAGGGGTAGAAAGAGGAGGTGGATGGATGGGTGGACGAGGGAGCGGGAAGAAAGGGGATGAATTGGATGAGGAGGAGGCGGTGGAGGAGGAGGAGGAGGAGGAGGAAGAGAAGGAGTCGGAGGAGGAAGGAGGAACAGGAGAGCAAGCGAAAGGGCCAGAGGTCTCTTGGATACTTCTCGGAGCCCCTTGGGGTATCTCGTGGGAGTCTTGGCGCGTCTTGGGGGCCCCTTGGCGGTCGTGGGGGGCTCTGCGGCGTCTTGGGTGCCTCGGGGGGGCCTCTTGGGGCCGCTTGGGATCCTTTTAGGGGCCTCCTGGGGCCCCCTGGGGGCCTCTTGGGGCCATCTTGGGGCCGTCTTGGGACCTCCCGGGGCCCCCCGCGCGCTTCCTGGGGCCATCTTGGAGGAGATCGATCAAACAAGAGGGGGTCTTTCATTCGCCCCCCCCCCCCCCCCATCAGGAGGCCAAAATGGAGCCACAACTTTTGAAGCCAATGATTTTGGCTTCCTCGCCGAGGCCGTTTCGGGCGCTCTGACACCTCGCGAACCCCCCCGCCCTCCAGGGGGGGGGGTCGGGCGAGGGGCAACTCCGCCCCCGGAGGGGAAGAAGGAGGGGTGGAAGAGGAAACTCCCTCAACCACCGACGCCCAGATGGCTGGTGGGATAGCGAAGACTTCGCCGAGGTCCACGCCGACTGCGAAAAGATGCGGATCCAGCGCGAGCCCGAGAAAAGCCGAGCCGACGCGAAGGCCGAGCCAGTGGCCGACAAGTCGACGCCGGAGGGCGCCAGGGGGCCGAGCGGCGGCGAGCGGCGAGCGCCGGGCGCGCGAGCGCCCCGAGCCAAGCGCCCCCATGCTTTAGCTGAGAGGGTGCCGTGCGAGCGTCTCGAGGCGCGCGCTCGAACCCCATCCGCTTTCAAGCTCCAAGCGAGCGTTCGAGCACGCGCGAGTGGCGGTCCAAGCTGCGGGGCGCTACCCCCCCCTCTCGCCGAGTGATCCTCGACCAAGCCTCAAGCAATCAAGCAGGCTCGATCCTCCATCCTCGGATCGAGGATCCGAGATCTTGAGTCCGAGCATCTTCGAGCACCTTGGATCCTAGATCCGAGGATCGCCAAGCTTGGACTCGAAGATCTCGGTTTCGCGATCCGAGGATCGAGTATCAAGCCCCGGCGATCGTCGATCGTCACCGTCGCCGCCCAGGCCGCCATCAGGGAGACTATCATCGATCCCAGATCGGGGACCCGAGATCTTGATTCCGAGCATCTCCGAGCACCTTGGATACTAGATCCGAGGATCGCCACGCTTGGGCTCGAAGGTTTCGGGCTCGCGATCCGAGGATCGAGGATCGAGGCTCGGCGATCGTCGACCGCCCCCTCGTCGCCGCCCCCGGGCCCAGACCGCCATCGAGGAGGTTGCATCCTCGATCCTCGTATCGGGCATCCGAGATCTCGAGCCCAAGCATCCGTGAGCGCCTTGGGTCCTAGATCAGAGGATTGCCACGCTTGGACTCGAAGAACTCGTGTTCGCAATCCGAGGATCGAGGATCGAGCCTCGGCGATCGTCGATCTCCCACGTCGCCGCCCTCGAGCCCAGACTGCCATGAAGCGGGCTCGATCCTCGGATCGAGGATCTGAGATCTTGGTCTTGAGCACCTGCGAGCACCGCGGACCCTAGATACGAGGATCGCCAAGCTTGGGCTCGAGGATCCTGGGTCCTCGATCCGAGTATCGAGGACCCAGGATGCTGCTGGGGGCCGCGCGAGGATCGAGGGCCCAGGATCGATCGACGAGGCGGCTAGGTCGGGAGAGGTCGAGCGCCCCGGGCGCTTCCTGGCCACGAGGGGCCCCGAGCGCGCGAACTCCTGGCGGAGACGCGCCGGGCGAAGAATGGGGGGCAGCTGAGGGCCCTGGGCAGGTTCCTCACGGAGGCCGCGAAATCCAGTTTCGAGGAGCACATGCCACCGAAAATCTGCGGCCCGGGCTTCGGGCCGCAATCGGCGGCGGCCCCTCCGCGCGCCTCCCCGGGCGGCGCTCGCCCTGGGTGCCTCGGCGCCGGACGGGGCCATTCCAGCGACGTTCCCGCCGCCGCCGCCGCCGCGCGCAGCGCCCGGCGCCCTGTCAGCGGCGGCGACGGCCTGGCCCCGCAGCCAGGCAGGCACAACGGTCATCCCAACAGACCTGTCCAAGGAGAGCATCGCTAACTTCCTGGCCGATTGGATTTCCAAGGGCTGCGAGACGAAGCAGCGGGTCAGGTTGATGATTGCACCGACTGACGCGGGCAAGATTACCCCAAGGAGTTTCAAGCGGCGCGCGAGCCGCGCAGCTGACATTCTGTTCGGGCTTGAGTGACAGCAGGCCGAGATCCAACTTGAGCTTCGAGCGGAGAGGCCTCCGACCGCGGGGTTTCAAAACGTGTGCATGGTGGGTTTTCGTCAAGGAGTGGCTCAGTCTCATGGTGTTGTGCTTTCCTACTTGGTCCTCTCCGTCTACCTCGCCTTCGGCATCTCCCAAAACTCATTGCAATGGTCGGTGCCAGTACTTACATGGCAGTTGGGTGCACTGGGATTTCCGGCATTTTGGCGGTATCCCGCCCTGCTACTATGGGTGAGCCTTCTCCCTTCCGTTTTCAAGATTCGCAGTGCTTGGCGCGATATTCACAAGGATATCTGCATACATATATATATATATATATATATACATACATATATATATATGTATATATATATATGCATTATGTGGTCTGGTCGTCTGCATTCTATGCTACGAGACCTGGATACCGTCGACGCTGTTGCAGGTTGGTGATGAACGGGTATCGGATCCAGACTTTAGCTACACGAAGCTCACGGCTACGAGCTCTTCTATTTCGACAGGTTCAGCATCGGTAGATGCATCTCATTCCTCTTTCGCTGCTCTCTCGGGCATCGCACAAACATGATGGACCCTGCATGTCTCTTGCCGCTTGGAGGCGAAATACGTGCGCATGATCGCCCGCCGATACCATCGGCTTCCCCACCAAGATATACGGCCCCGAGGGGCAGCCCTGCTAGCCGCGCTGCTGCCGCCGCGCTGTCGTGGACGACCCGGTGGGGCTGGATTCGGAGTGGAGTGAGGTGGCCCCTGTTGTGGTGTGTGGTGAGGTTTTTGTCCTTCCACCCTGAGTTTGGGTCCTCGTTCTCCCCTTCCCCTTTCTCCTCTTTTACATTTTGTCTTAAAGCGGTTAAGAACATCATCCGATCCTATCCTTTCAGATCCTTTCGGGCGAGTGCGAGCATGCCCTGTCGTGTCTGCTGCCACTTACATTCGAACTCGGGCGAATCGGAAGCCCACGCGATCCTCGCAGCTTTCGATTCGGACCGTCTCGCCGAGCAGCGTCCACTTTCCACTGATTGCATCCTCCCTCTCCTCGTCCTCCTTCTCCTCCTCCTCGTCCTCGTCGTGAGTGCCCCTCCTCCACGTGCTCCTCTTCGGGCGGATGAGCTCGTCGGCGGCGCGCCCCAGGGGGTACGCGGAGACCGGCCGAACGTCTGAAAGAAACGCTTTCAGATCCTCCTCCGAAGAGAGGGGCGGTGTTTTTTCAGGCGGCCGGAGAATGCTTCTGACATGCGCCGCCGTTTTTTGAGAAGGCATGCCCCTGAATTCGCGGAAACTTGGGGCTCGAGTTCGCCGAAGCTTTTTGACGAGCCCGTTCTGTATTTTGACGGTTCAGTATTCGAATATGTTTGCAGCGGGAACCCGTGTCAAGCAACAGGATTGGTCTCGTCACTTTCTTGACGGCCCCGACAGGCAACCTCAGTCCCCCGATCATTGATCATCGCCACTTGATGTCATTATGAGTTGTACGTCTCCTCGATCAATGATGACCGCCGTTTGGCTTTCGGGTCGTAACTCGGGTCCCCGGCGGCCGTTCGGGACGATCCGGGCGCCCCCAGAGCGCCCTCGGCGAGGCGCAGCTGCTGGAAAGCACCACAATGCTGGAAAACCGCCCAGAACCCCAGAAAACGCCCGAAAACCGCCGCATCGAACCAACAGTTCCCGGCAGTTCCCCTTTCGACGCGACGCACCGCTCGAGAACCGCTCAGGTTCCAGTCCATGTGGCTGCGCCAGATGATATGGCTGGAGGCGGAGCTCGCGCTGTCCGAGGCCGACTGGCAGGTCGTCGTGACTCACTTCCCGCCCACGGGGTCCTGGGGCGAGGAACCGCTTGCGAAATTTCACGCTGGCGCACCCCCAACATGATATCCATGTGATTCTTCGATGTGCACATTTTGCTTATAGTTGTCAGATGACAGATCACAATATGACGCATTTGCTACTGCAGCGTGCGACGTCCGCGCTGACGCTAACGCAACGTGCAACGCCCGCGTTTCTTGCGGGCTTCCACAGCCGCCTGTGGCCGCCCACGGGGTCCTGGGGCGAGGAGTCGCTCAGGAAGTCCGGGCCCTTCCCTGTCACAGGCGGCGGCAGCGGGCACGGCGTGGTCGTGGCCCTGTCTTACGGGGGCTCGCTCCTTTTCTCCTTCTCCCTTTGTCTATATATATATATATGTATATATATCGGAGGTGAGGGGGTGAGATCGAAGTGGAAAGGAGAGCCCCCGTACCGGGAAATCGATTTCGGTTTCGTGTTCGTGCGTGCCGTGCGGGCGAGGCGAAGCTGCGTGGGCGGGCGAGAGAAAGTCTCCTGTGGTTGAGGCGCGGCCGGACCAAATGACTCCCTTCCGGGCGGCCGGGGGCCCGCGGTGTCCCGCCGGTGTCCCGCTGGTGTCCCGTGTGGCTGAGGCGCGGCCGGACCAAATGACTCCCTTCCGGGCGGCCGGGGGCCCGCGGTGTCCCGCCGGTGTCCCGCTGGTGTCCCGTGTGGCTGAGGCGCGGCCGGATCAAATGTCTCCCTTCCGGGCGGCCGGGGCCCCGCGGTGTCCCGCCGGTGTCCCGCTGGTGTCCCGTCGGTGTCCCGTCGGTGTCCCGATGATGATGATGATGATGATGATGATGATGATGATGATGATGATGATGATGATGATGATGATGATGATGATGATGATGATGATGATGATGATGATGATGATGATAATGATGATCATCATGATGATGATGATGATGATGATGATGATGATGTTGATGTTGATGTTGATGTTGTTGTTGATGATGGTGATGATGATGTTGGCGTGTTATTTTGATTATCGATAGTGAGATCGATAGTGAGGTCGAATGTGAGATCGATAGTGAGATCGATAGTGATATCGATTGTGAGATCGAGCGTGAGGCCGAGTGTCATACCGATTGTGAGATCGATTGTGAGATCGATAGTGGTATCGGTAGTGAGATCGATTGTGAGACCGAATGGGAGATCGATTGTGAGATCGGTTGTGATATCGATCGTGAGATCGACAGTGAGACCGAATGTGAGATCGATTGTGGGACCTATTGTGAGACCGAGTGTGAGATTGATAGTCATATCGATTGTGAGATCGATCGATTGAGATTGATAATGAGATCGATAGTGAGTTCGATAGTGAGATCGATGGTGAGACCGAATGTGAGATCGATTGTGAGATCGGTTGAGATATCGATAGTGAGATCGGTAGTGAGACCGAGTGTAAGATCGATAATGAGATCCAAAGTGAGTTGGGTAGTGAGATCGATAGTCAGATCGAATGTGAGATCGACTGTGATATCGATTCTCAGATCAATAGCGAGACCGAATGTGAGATCGATTGTGAGATCGATTGTGAGATCGATAGTCAGATCGATTGTGAGATCGATCGATTGAGATCGATTGTGAGATCGGTAGTGAGTTCGATAGTGAGATCGATCGAGTGCGACGTTGGTCCCTCCCCCCCCCTCACCTCCTTATCACCCGAAGGGTGGTCGTATAGGTATATATATATATATATATATATATATGTATAGCTTTCCTTTTCTCTCAATGTTTCCCTCTCGTTCGTACGTTGGTATTGCTTGTGTGTATATATATATTATTTTTCTTTGTTGCATATCACTCTATAGATACGTAGGTATGTTTTTACGCGTAGTCATCTTTGTTTGCTTATGTTGATCTCTCTCTCTCTTTCTCTCTTCTCTCTCTCTCTCTCTCTGCTTGTTTCTATTGCTCTCTGTTTGTTTGTAAATTTGCTGTAAGCTCGCGCGCAGAGCGGCCGGCTGATTTGGCGCAACTGTTGAGGTCTCGATGGAGTTTACCGATGGCAACTTCCCAGCGCGTCTCCAAGGCCGCCCTGGCGCGCGGGCACTTCAGCGCGGGTCGGTTGCTTGGGCGGGCGCGATATCACGATAATGTCGGCAACGACGGCAACGATTCTATTTGCGATGGTGGCGTCGGTCATGCCAATGACGGCGGCAAGAACAATGACGGCGGCGATGTTGGTGACGACGAGGACGACCATGATTTCCATGTACCGGTGGTAACGATTGACTAGTGATGCCGGCGATGGTGGCGATTGACGGTGGCGATAACAGCGGTTGCGCGACGGCGTTGATTAGGGTGACGGTGAGGAAGTGCTCGCGCGGAGAAACTCAAGAGATCTTGCATACGCTATGTTGAACGGCAGTTGTTTTACTCATGCGCTTTGCAGAGGCTCATCTTAACTGGCTTCGAAGACCAAATGCTCTGGACAGGTTTTGACACGGGCGCGTCGCGGCGCGCGCTTGTGGCTTGCATGGTATCATCTGGTTCGGATTCATATTTTGGGCGCGCGCTAGATGAATGCAGATGCACCGCGTGCTGAGATGAGACGGTGGGTTCTGCACGAGATGGTTTTCAGCAGATGCGCGTGGGCATACGTTATGTAAGCTGTTTTCGTTGAGCACTGGTTGGTTTTTTGTTTTAGATTGAAGTGCTAGCGCCACTAATGTGTTCGGTATGTGTCAGGCATGTGCGAGCGAGTGTGTGGACTGTGTCGTATGCTGTTTTGTTTGTTTGCAAGGTGTTCGTGCACATCCATTGTTGAGATAACCTGCTGCGCTCGCATGTTTTACTTGTCAGGGGCGAGGGGGGGGTGGATCGATGCCCAGTCGCCTTGGATGGTGTGGTTCCATGTGCAAAATGAACGATGAGGCATGACCGTCTGTGAATTTCCCATGTTCCAAAGAGGGCGTCAAGTCCGGGACGGAGCAGGTGCTGGAGTGAGTGGTACAGATGCATTTTCTTTAGAGCACAGAAAGCATTGTGACGGCATCCGCGCGTGACCACCTCGAATGTTTTTGCACGGATCTTGCTCACATGCCCGCACCTTATGGGCAGCATCCGACAGGGCGTGAGTGAAACTACTCATCGGGACGTGTCTCCAAATTTCAACAGGTGAGATGGCGGGCGGACCGGACCCCGCTCATGCAGACATATGGCCCGTGCGGGCAAGTGGTGATGGTGATGACGACATCGGCGATGACGTCCCCGCGTGGGCGCCCACGGGGCGCCCACGACCTCGGCGGAACCAGCCAGCGCACGGGGCGCTCACGAGGCGCCCACGAGCGCCCACCAGGCGAATCCTCGGCGGACCCAGCCAGCGCACGGGGCGCCCAATCTCGGCGGACCCAGCCAGCGCACGGGGCGCCCACCAGGCGCCCACGAGCGCCAACCAGGCGAAACCACGGCGGACCCATCCAGCGCACAGAGCGCCCACGAGCGCCCACCAGGCGAAACCCCAGCGCACCCATACAATTACCCAGATCAGCCCGAGTGAGTATGCCTAAATGCAAGCACTGCTAAGATCCGCTGAAGGAGAACTATCCTCCCAGACTCGAGTCCCCACCAAGAAGGCGAATTCGCGAGCGCCCAAGGACGGCCCAAAGGGGCCCCGAAGTGACCCCCGAGACGACCAAGACGGGCCGCAGACGGCCCACGAAAGCCGCAATGCCAGGCAACAGGTTTCCCGGACTGCCCCAGAAGGCCACAGAAAGACAGACATCATTGATTACCCCGATTTGTTCGTACGAGTTCTGGGCACTCGCCGTCTCGGTCTTCAGAGCCTCCACGACGGCCTAAGAGGAAGCCTTCAAGCTCTCCCCAATATGGGCCACAAGGCGTCCTAAGGGGGTCTCACGAGGGGCCCAAGGCGGCTCGAGATGGGGTGAAGATAGCCCGAGAGGGACCCAGTCCAGACCGCCGGCGAAAACTCCAGTACGGCTCAATAGGGCTTCCAGACCGCCCCAAGGGACGCCCGAGGCGGCCCAGAGGGGACCGAGACGGCCCAACTAGGCCCCAAGACGACCCAGCTGGTCTCCCGAAGCCATTTCGCTTCAGCCGACTGCCCTGCGTGCCCCAAGGTGCAGCTGGTACCCCAGCGCGCTGCAGCCTCTCGATAAGCCCTGGACTCTGGAGCATCAGGCGGGCGACACCCGCCGAGGCGAGGCGCATCCCCCCGGAAATCATGGCGAGCGCCGCGCCAGCCAGCTGGCGCCCGCAGGAGCTGGCTGCGGCCAGCAGCCTGGCGCAGATGGTGCGGCGGGTGCCGTTGCAGCAGGATGGCACCCCCGACATGGAGTCGGCGTCCGGCAAGTCTGCGATGAGCTGCCTCCTGAACATGCTCGACTTGGTCAGCCACGAGCTGGGGGTGGAGCACGCGGCGAGGGACTACTGCTCTGCCATGGCGGAGCACCACAAGGCGCACTGGATGCAGCAGGGGTGCCTGTACAGCCTGAAGGTGTTGGCCAAGTGCAACGAGGGCCAGAGCGAGGTCGTGGTCAACGGGCAGGCGTTCCAAATGAGCCGCAAGACTGCTCGCCTGACTGGGTGGGTGAGGCGCCGGTGGTGCGAGGTCTTCGCGCTGCTGAAGCAGATGCGCAAGCAGCCGGCTGAGGCCTGGGATGCGCTCCAGAAGGTGAGCCTGCGCAAAGCCCTGGGTGCGCTGGACCACGCCTGGGCCTCCTTTGAGGAGAGGTTCTTCGCGGAGCTGAGGCTTTACGAGGTGCAGGCCCAAGGCGGTGCCGACCTCGTGCGCGGTTTCCGCAGCACCGTCGCTGCTGCACGAGGCGGCGGCGCGCAGGGACAGGCAAGCTGCTACGAGTCCAACTGCTGCTGGCAGCTCGTCCACCACATATCGCAGCTCAACTTGGTACTCAACCCAGGCCGCACGGGACGCATTTTCGGAGCCGAGGTGTTGATTGCGGCTCAGATGGTCATTAGATCTGGTCAAGAGCATGCGCCGCATCAGCAAGAGGCCATCTTCGACCCAGCCTGCC